TTTATACATATATACAGAAAACTAACACCCTGTATTTTGTGACAGGAACGAATTGCACGTTTAAACATATTGGATTTAAAGCCATAGGGTTTTGTATTTACCATATATATATTGCCATACTTTGTATTAATGTAACTTAATAAGAGAATCTTTAGCAGAAGCCATAGAAAGAGCTTTTATTTTTAGGCAACCTGTAAACCTACAGAAAAAACACAAATTAAACAGTCAGCTTAAAATATTAAAAAAGAGGAAGAAGATAAAATAAAACCCGGTAATGAATCACATCAGCAACGCGAAATTATGAAACTACAGATAAACAGAGAGCAAAACCTTCTCAGGAAGCTATGAAAAATAAGATTGCTCTACTCGAAAAAAATCTGAATACTTTGTATTCTGTCAGAGATACTATGCTAAGCATAGTTCATCTACTGCTAATACTCATGCTCAGGATTTCGAGACGCTTCTCGAACTTGAAGAGTTTCGACCATTAGCTAAAACTGACCATGGACTAGTAAAACCAGTGGTAATCATGACGATTGATGGAGAGCCAGATGAAAATCCACGTTATGAAAAAGTCATAGGGTTTACTATACAACACTTTAACCGACATGATCTCAATGCTTTGTTTTTAGCTATCAATGCTCCTGGAAGAAGTGCGTATAACAGTGTAGAGCGCAGAACGGCTCCTCTTAGTCGGGAACTGGCTGGTTTAATATTGCCTCATGATCAATTTGGGGTCTCATTTGGACGAACGTGGCGTTACAATTGATGAACATTTAGAAAGATCTAATTTCGAATTTGCAGGAAATGTATTAGCTGAAATTGATGGCTATAATGTTAATGCAAAATATGTTGGGGCAGGTGAACAAGATCTTCCTTATTTTCCAGACATTAAATGGTATTCGGAACATGTGCGTGAGAGCCAATACTTGCTTCACATTGTAAAATGTGTAAAATGTCGTCCAAGAAGTGGCCTATTTAGATTACTAGACAATAGGTTTCTTCAACCACCTGTAAAAGTAAAACAAACATTTGACGACTTGGTTTTGGATGAAGGAGGGCAATTTCTTAATCTTCCAGTCAATTTAGCTCTACGCTTAAGTGCTTCACTCAAAGATTTCCTGCAAGTGCCCTACGATTATTTTTGTCCGACGGGAAAATTGAGGCTATCAAGTCGAACATGCAAAACGTCGTGCTAATGAACTGATGTGCATTATTCAAAATTTAGAGCACCATGATGTTGAATGGCTCGATGAGAACGACGTAGACATTCCAAAATCCGATGAAAGCGAGCAAACTCACAACACTGAGCAGCAATCGAAGCAATCCTATGTCATCGAAAACTTAGAATCATGGATTCGGGTTTCAAGGACTGAAGACTTAATTTGAATTTAATATATGTAACAAAAATTTAAAATAAGTTTGTTATGTTAGTAAGATATAATATTTTTGTCCTTTACTTTATGTTGAATACCGAATCAGTAAATATAATCTCTATCTATATTTTGAGGTCATCATGAAAATTGCAAGGCTGAAAATTTTCAAGCAGTTGTGTCAGACCTGTTTTGAAGGAGGCTTGATTATTAGGCAAATGGGCAAACTTATCCAAAAAACTATTCAGTTTTACATGAATAACATCTAGTAGATGACTTAGTTTGTCATTTGTGTATCTCAGCCTCTACTTGTTGTCCTGTTCCTTGAAATGAACAGACAACTGTAATGGGGTCAACTCATCAGAGAACAGTGCTTCCCGACATTTAGGGCATTGGGGGATGTTAACATCACTTTGTGTTGCAGTGAATTGGATACATTTTAGATTCACTTTCTGTTAACTGACTTTTACTTACTTCTAATTGTGTAAGGCATGAACTCGAAGTATCTGACAGAAATGTATATTTATCTTGATAATAAGTCTGTACCATAAAATCTGGCTTAGAATAGCAGTGATCATGTTCAATTGTACTTACTTCTGTCAAGTCTTTGGTACTTCTTTTGGCAGGCAATTTACATGGCTTGCTGCCGAAGTTGAAGGAGAATCACAAATGCTTGCTGAGAAAGGAACAGAGCATTCCTTCAATAAAACTGCAATATCAGCATGACTAATGACCATCAACATCTTTTCGAACTGCAAGACAGTTCAAACGTGAATAGGGATCCTGAAGGGAAACACTATCGGACAGTATGAACTGGTCTTCGCAAACATATTTATCAGATTTTGTACTGGAAGCTAATCCACAGGCATTGTATCATAATTGCCCTGAGCAACTTCACAATATTACCGGAATCAATGGGTGATATGCATAAATTTGAGTGGGTTCTCAGAAGTAGCGACTCCATATTGTAGCGAGTAACTACTCCTGTTAGGGAGAGCCTACTCGGTTTTGATATGCATAAAATATTTGTCGAGAAACGGAGAGGCTACTCAAGTGCTAATGAAATACTTGAGTAGGCACTCTGGTTTTCGAGTTCCGACTGTTTTGTTGTCTCGCAGAATTGGCAATTTCTCTATTGCGAGCAGTTACTACTGTATACCGGTAAACGTTTGTGTCGGTGGTGTTTAGGTCGATTATTATTTGTTCATTTACATGATGTCAAACTATTCTGAAGACCATTCATCTGAAAATCAAACAGTATTTGTTGATATAATTGAACAGTATCCTGTTTTGTTTGAAAAATCGACGTAAGGCGGTTGAAGAAATAAAAGAAAAGGTAGAAGCCCAATTAGGAGTTAAATATAATGAAGGTCAGATTTGGAAGAAGATTCAAAACATAAAAACCAGATTAAAAGCGAATACAGACAGAAATCAAACCGGAAACAAACCAATAAAATTGAAAGGATGGGAACAAGAACTGTTCAATTTTCTACAAGGAGAATCAAATCCTAATATTGCTCGATTGCAATGTTAGTTGTATTTTTTTGTTTTTCCATACAGTAGGTATAAGATGTGATTGAGTATAATATACATACATGTCAATAAATATAAATAGCATATATTTTAAATTTTAAGTGCTGTTGTGGCAGGTTGCCCACAAAAAAGCGTTCATTACCCTCCAACAGCCTGTGCTGAAGAAGAAACAATCACCGAAGAAGCATCTGGAAGTTCAGGACCAGTACCACAATGAAAGCCGGACCCCGTAAGGAGCCTTCTAAAAAAGAGCACTTTTTCTGTATCGACGCGTATTTTGTTATGTAGAATGGGAAAAAGCTGTTTTAGTTGCCCGAAACATCTCTCTATTATAACTCGCTCTCTCGTAAACAGCCGATTGTATGATCTTTGTTCTGCTGTTTCTGCAATCCTAAAAGGAGTCATGAGCCAAGGAGCTGTACCATACCCAGAGTCTCCCAACAAAACAGCACTAGACCTATTCAATTTGATGACGTTGTATATATCAGAATTCTTCCATCCAAGTCTTCGTTTGAATTGCACGTTGCTTGTACATTTATACTAGCAAAGTTCTTTCTGTTCACATATTCGTCTGCATGAATAAACGGCTTCAGAATAGGTATATGGGTGCAGTCGATAGCACCAATAGCTGAAGGAAAATTGAACTTTTCATTGTGAGATCTTCACATGAGGTTGGGAATCTAATCCAAATATTCGACTTCTGCACAATGCGTGTTATAACGTTGGTAACGGTTCGGGATACCGTAGATTGATGGACACAAATATCTTCTCCTATGCCAATTTGAAATCCTGGATCACCCACATATCGTTAAAAAACCCGCATTCTTTCTATATTGCTCAAAGCACCGCCCCTATATTCTTCTGTCTCTCCAAGAAAATGATTACTTATCCACTCAACATTAACTTTACTAAAGCGATATAAGGCCTGATAGTCTACTTCCCTTGATTCCCTACGATCTTTAAACACCTTCGTAGGCTGATAAATAGGCATAAATTCGGCCATTTCGTGAAGACATCCACTTCTTATAAAGCTGAGTCTACTACTAAGGTATCTCGCATTTCTTTAAGTATGTACTCAGCGGTCGGAGTGGACGCTCGCTTTTATGCATATAAAAATTAAAGTCGGCACTCAAAGAGCGAGTACAGCCTCACGGAAAGAGTAGAAACTTATGAGTGTGAGCTTCTACTTACATTTTTATGCATATCAAATGGAGTGGCTACTTTAAAAATGCGAGTCAAAAGTAGCCACTCGCCTTTATGCATATCACCCAATGTCATGTAGGTACTCACCTGTTTTTTTTTAACCCACTCCAATCTTGAAACATGGGTGACAGGAACTGGAACTGACAATCATTTCTTGAAACACACAATTTATAAAAAAATTATGTAGTCACAGACGACCCGAGTGGAGTGAGAAAATTTTACTCAGGTTTTTTTTTCAAGGTGGACATAAACGCATGCTTAATTAAGGGTTTGATGACATACTCTAAATTCCAATAAATATCAAAAGTAAAACTTCTCTATTTCATTATCACATCTTACCTATATTAATTATCTCGGAGCAGCATTGTTCCAAGCCACACCATACGTCGGCACATTTATAGCGGTAAAGGAAAAATGGCAGCTTGACAGTGGTGACGTTGAAGAAAGACGTATGAAAGACAAGTGACACTATCAATATTGACAGTGTTGCCGGCCGTTTTTTTCACCACGAAAGATGTTGCCAGATTTCCTGTGTTGCGCCCTGTCAAGTCTCAGTTGACCCCACGTGACACTCACCTTACGTCACAGAGTCACAAAACATATTCACTTAAAAAATGCTTACGAGGCGACACTGTCAATATTTTTGTTGAGTGTGGTATCATGGGTTTTTTGTAGTTTCCTTATGATCGTATATTCGAATTATGATTCTTTATTGCACTATATTGTAAATGCACCACATTACGTTATCTACCAGAATAAAGTTATTTTCCTAATTATATTGTTTTATTTATCACTCTTGAACGAACCCAATCACAAATGCACGTGAGGTGTTTGAATTGTTTTTCCTAATGCAAAATTTATTGTTGTTATTAGGAAAACCATTCAAAACAACCAAATAAAGATGACAATGAGTGACAGATGTGGTGAGAAAGTTGGCAACCATGAGAGCACCGCTGTATGTCATTGTAAGAAAAATGGCGGCATATGACATTTCGTCGAATTGTTCTGAGTAGGCAGGCGTTCTGTCTGTGTCATATTTGTTCTTTCACCACGACAACATGGCGACATTCGTGTTGCTGGTTGAATTACACTGAATTAGCATTCTGTAAGTGTATATTTTGTGCCTTCTTCAGTATATATGTTTTGTGAAAACTGACGCATACCGGCGCAAACCAGATTTTCAAAAGAAAAAAGTTTTAAAAAAGGAGTAGGACTTGTTTGAGGTGAATTTCACATATTTGGCGGGTTGGTTTTGCTTTTATCAATATAGTTAACTGTCATATTTCTTCTAGGCAATTCTAGTCGCTGTCGCTGTTAAGGACAACTTTTTAGTTAGCAATGACTTCTACAAGTTTCAATGTCGGTTTTGGTGAGAGCTCGAAAAATTCCAGCAGGGTGCTGCGGCCACCAGGTGGTGGACATACGAATATATTTGCTACTGAAGATGCACCAAACATAAAAAAGGATCATGGTAAGTACCTATTTCAGATTCCAATTATTGTGTTGAAGTACTTTTGAAAAACGATTTATATTCTGTAGTAAGCACGGCTCTACAGAGTGCGGTATTCTAACACCATTTTAAATAACGGCTTATACTAAAATCAAGGTCGTCGTAAGCCTTGAAGGGGTCTCTGGGGACATAGCAGCCTGCTGCTGAAGGGGAGCTAGGCCAGAGCAAAATCCAGGTTCCTACTCTGAAAATTGGAAACATTGAAACAAAGGAGGATCTTAGATATTATTTTTGCAAATTATTGTAGTTCGATTTTTGCGTAAGAATTTCATCCAATTCAACATCCTCCTCTATATTATTAAGAAGTGGGGATTGTTATGAATTATTTAAAAGCTATTTTTATAGTCTATTTAACAATTTTACTGTTTTTGATTATAATGCAGACCCTAGTATTTAAATAAAAATCATAACATAGTCATTGCCATGATTACTGGGCATATTTGTAAAATCATCCCTAAATTCAAAATGATGGTAACCTGAATTGAAAGAAAATAAAATATACTGTATTTGGGATTTCAATCTGTCAAAAATATAACCAAATCAACAAATTCCAAGCAGTGTAAAGTATACTGCTTTAAAAGTGACAACATAGGATGGAATTGAGGTAACCATTACTTTCACCACAAATATCAACAAACCTCAGAATACATAACAGGTATAACAGATTAAGAATACACTTTGTAATACCAAAGATGCATTATAAGGAGACCCTAAACATTTTTATAAACTAGCAAGTTTCCCCGAAATAATTGTAAAGTTCGGTTTTATCGATGCAAGATGTTCAAGAGGGTATTTGAAACATGGACACATAAAATGGATATACCAATTTTTGTGGGAAATTTTTTTATTCAACAACAAAGAATGAGAAAAACAGGTTTTTTGGAAATCGTTCAAGTGTTGGCAGGAACAAAAAACTCTTCAAATAAAATTTTTAGGTATTTACGCAACCACACGTAAAAAGATCCGACTAATAGTAAAAAAGTTATGGCCGAAAACTGAGGCAAGATGCAGGTTTTAGCACTTGTTGGTAATGCAAAGATAGTGTCATGAAATTATTCATATTCGTAGGCTTCATACTTACTAATAACCACAACAAAATTGGAGTAGATTGATCAATTAGTTTTTGAGAATTTCTAAATCCCAAAACACTTGTTTTCCTGCCATTACTACTAGTTTATTGTGCAATATACAGGGTTTGTTCAAAGGGCATTTTATATCAAACTGCATGAGTCTACCTTGCTGATATGAATCCCATACCATTCTGAAAGATAAATGCTATTTTTTGGTTCACATTTTGTTTTCTAAATAAATTCAAACATTTCGTATTTGTATGACTAATTGTACATATGCTCTACGATATTTGAAAAACATACGTTTTTATACACATTTTAAAACAAGGCGGATATGTCTATCCAATTTTATTGCATTTTACAAGAAATCAACCGTTCATTAAATCCCTTACTTCAAAGACTCCTTCTCATTGGTAGAATTTGTGACCCAGCTTAGAAAAATCGGGCCTTATTGTACCAAATACATTCCCCTTGTCTATCGTATACTTAAAAGAAGAATTTCAAATACGTGCGATTTCATTGGCTAGACAAACATAGGGGATTATCGAAGAAAGCCACAGGATAAGTGTCAGTGATGAATACATGAGCTAAACGATTTGGTGACCATTCATTAGGCACTTTAGAGCATGACTCGCATGTGGATCATGATCCTTTGTTTCGCATTTTTTGTATTTTACTTTTGAATTTGAGCTTCTAAGAAATATTAGGTATGCACCTTTAATGTCGGCAGTTATGTCGACTATCCCAAATGCCAAAAGGCATTAAATAAGTTAGTTTTTGAGTAAACTAAAATAATCGTTGATTCAACCCACTTGAGGCGGTGGGTTTTTGGGCAAATAAAATTTACCAAACGTGCATTCTGAAATGGCATTGCTTTGAAAAGGGAAATTACCTTTGCTTTATGCTTAATACAAAAAATCTACTATGTAAAAAAGTCTATGGTGTTGATGAAATGAGCACATATGTTCAACAGTAACTTGAAGACTTGAAGTAAATAATGTGCTAAGTGCCACATTATTATTTTGAGATAAACAATATTTTTGGTTCTACAATCAATGTGTTACAAAAATTTATATGAAAATTAAACATGGTTTATTCAAGTATTTTTCTGTGTACTTAATATTTTCCGGAACTTTTTGAAAAAAATGACAGAAAAAAATTATATAAATTATATATATATATATTTTTTTTTTTTGAGACGTGGTCATTGTCGTCTAGACCAGTTAGGTGAAAAATTAAAGCTTCCGCTTTTTGTTGGGTACTTCGACAAGATTTAAGCAAAGAGGACTCTTTATACTTTTTTAATTCTCTCTAGCTTTCAATGGACTTTGCCATCATCATCAGGAGCTGCAATTACAATGATAACAGTAGCAACAAAGGTGTAAAATGAATTTAAATTGACTCAACTTACAGTAGTATGTGAGAATGTTGCTAATTGTTGTTTTCGTATAGGATGAGGGAAACGTCCAGTAACATGGTGAGAGCTGAATAGGTTGCACAATAGTCAAAATTTATACAAAACATGACAAGAACAAGTTAAAACAGATTAAAAATTATTTTAAAAAATTAGAACATTTCACGATGACGAGGAACTTATCATAGCAAGATGAAATATTCAGGGTTTATTCTACATGGATTGAAATAGTTTTTACAATAAAATGAATAATGAAATACAACCTCAATTTTTTTTACCGCCCTCCCAAGTTGAGGGATGGAAGAGATTTCTCACAAAAAAATGAATTTAAGATTGTTTGCGATGATTTCTAATTAGCTGTGTTAAAAAAATGACATAACCATTTCTAAAACTAACCATTCAGCCCCTTTTAAAAAAAATTACAGCCCTACACCTAATGGTTTTGTTGTAATTGCGATTGAAAGTTCATTATCCCGTTTTTTTTTTCGAAATTTCACAAAATTGCACATATCTCCTGAACTATAAAATTTCGGGTTCATTCGATATGTTATGCCCTCTATCACCTGACTTCCGTTAATACACTAATACACCCTGTATAGTTTATTTTAGTGAATATGTAAAACCATTGTATTTATTGCCATGATTTTGTAATGTACTGAACTGAATTGAATATATATATACACGGTATCGATATTCGATAAAATATTTTTCTTTCTACCATGAATGCGTGGAAAAAACAAAATAAGGAGAGATCTAAAATAAGGAGTTATTGACGGCCTAAAATAGCCAGGCGCTAATACTTCCTGGCCGTATTTGAACATCTGAGCAGGCACAGTAAAACAAAAATAAGACTTGGAATTAAATAAAGTTTATTTCGACAGTTGGCAGAGTTTGCTCCAGTGGGACGAAGTTTTGACGGATCCCACAGAATTAATGTGTCACTTGTCGATATGGTTAGTTGTAAAATATCAGGAGATAATCAGCTGTTATTCAAATAATGTCTAATTATATAACCTAGAATGTGTACTCGTGAAAAAAGAAAAATATTGCAAACTTCTAGTTTTTTTTTGCAGGTTTTAGGTTTGCTGGTAGGTTTACTACATATATTTGGGTATTTCTTAATCGCTGTAAATATAGTGTGGATGTTTGTTCAGTTCCTGTTCCCAACAACAAAAAATATTAAACTTTATGGATTTGTGGATATCCAAAAACCTGAATGGTTGTGTGGGAATATCAATCTAACGTGCCATAATGGTTCTGATGAACGGCAAGTAAATGAATGAATGTTTGGAAACGAGCAGTATCTACGAAATTTTTGGTAGAGTATGTCATCAAGTAGGTGTTTAATGGCTATCTCCAAGAGGTTTATAGAAAAAAAAAACACGGGAGGTGATGTTAAATCAGTAAAATCGCATATATCAATTGAAGAAAATAATATAAACATGAATAAAAAAATCAACAATAGTAATTAAAACGAATTTTATTCAAAAATCAAACATTTCTTTAAATTTTGACTGAATTATATGTAATTTCTCAATATTCAATAAGCTGGTGATGTTTCAAGGACAAGCTGTCATCTCGTACTTTGACAATATTTTGTTTTCAACGGTTCATAGCTATTGGTTACTGAAATTTGTTGATTGGATGTTGAAGCTCATTCGCCTTATTTGACGGACTGTTACCCTATAGGTGGAGAATAACGGACTGTTAATTTGAACCTTGGTGATATCCACTCTTTTATTTCAATGGAAACATTTAACAGTAAATAACATGACACTTATAAGAGTTGCCGAAGATGCCCTCCTTCAATTTCAATGCAAGATTAGCTTGTCTCAACATTGATTGCAGAACTCGTTGAAATATTCCCGGGTATGATGTCTTATCTGATCACATGAATCTCGTATCCATTGGTTAATTCTTCTTTAGTGTTGACTGGAGTTTTATAAACGAGGGACTTTAAATGCCCCCTCAAAAAAAATCTAACCGATTTAAATCCTGCGCGCCCGATCCAGATCCTACTATGCTGAATTGAGGTGGAGTCCCATAAACCATATTGCTCCTCTTACTTCCAGCGGAACATTTTCTAGTGGTACAAGTAAAATAAATTCCAAAAAATGACGATACTCTGGATCCTTAAATCTCGGGGCTAAAAAATATGGTCCAATGAGATAATCACCTACAATACCAATCCAAACGTTCACGGAAAACTGTTGTTAATAATTAACTTCTGTAACCGCATGGGGGTTTAATTCATCCCAGATATGATTATTGTGAAAGTTCATAATTGAAGTGAAAAACACGCTTCATCGGTAAATAAAATACGGGATAGAAATCTTGGAAACGCTACCTGTTGTTGTAAGTACAATAAACGACTCGTTGGGGGAAATCGCTGTAGGTGGTAAGGATACAGTTGTTATTTCCTTAAAGTCTGCCATACAGTAAAGTGAGAGATGCTTAATTGTTCTGCAATTTTGCGTGTACATACTTGTATCGGGGCTATGCTCAGCTTCATGTAAAACTGCTTCCTCCATCACCACTGTTCTTACTGTGGCAGGTCTCCCAATTACAGCAGCCGACCTTGAGGTGCCTGATTCGCATAGCCTTTCATCTATTTTCACGAATGTTTGTCTATTATTTGGTATAATGCGATGAGGATATATTTGTTGATAAATGCGCCTAGCCGCTCTAGAATTGCCTTGAGCCATTCCTTAAACAAAATGCATATGGGTCATTTCTGTGTTTGTAAATTGAACCATTTTCCAATACTAGTAATTTGATAGCTTTACTCTTTAAAAACATATCAAATAATTGCGATCATTACTTAGGCACTGCTTTAAGTAAGTTATGTCAAAGTCAGCTTTGTTTGAGTAGCAATTGTTTTTCCTTTCATGGCACTCTTATTTTTTCTTGCTTTTAAAACTTTACTGTTATAAATTATCACGTTATGTGATTATTTTATGTTATTTTGTTTTATGAACATTAGTTTTAAATATGTGCGAAAAAATTCAAGAGATGGCTTTCCTCTAATGTTAATTGCTTAATTAGTTAGGTGTTTTGAATGTTTAATTATGTTATTGTTCCAGGGTCAAAAAGGGAGACAAAAAAGTTGTATTTTTAGCAGAAAAAAATATGAAAATCGAAAAACGTCAGTGGCGCACAAATTTTTGTCAACGATATTGGTTAGGGTGTTTTCCGGGACGCCAGTGGACTTGATAATTTCAATCTAATTGGAGCTAAATTAGTTCCTTACTGCCCTTAATACCACCGCTAAATTTAAACAAAATCGACTGAAAGTTTATCAAGATATTTAGGAACTGATTTTAAAAAAAAAAGTTTGACACCCTGTATCTTCAAAATGAAGCAATTCTGGACCTATATTTATATAAACTTTTCATCTTAAAATTAGATTCCGCGTACAAATAATTAAAGACACATTTTCAACACATGCATGCAACGTACCTAACGAATCTATATATCTCTGTGATATACTTGTTGGGGTCTGTTTGCTGTTTGGCTGACGATGTTTAGCAGGAGCCAGATAGTTGGCACGGGAATCACCTATCTTGAAAAGTGACATTATGCTGATTTTTTTTTGACATTATGCTGTTTTTTTTTTGACATGTAGGTTTTTCTACAAGATATTAACTTAGCACTTAGTTGTACGTGTTGCCTAAACGTCATGAGGCTGGTTATTAATCTTTGATTTTGATGTGAGGTAAAATCTGCTTCTGCTATGGCAGTACTGGAGGTCTAAGCTGTAAGTTGTGTGTTGATGATAATTATATTGGGTTTTTGTCTCAAATACACTTAATCGAGATTCAAAGCTAGAAATTAGTTGCGCATTCACTTTTTCTTATCCATTCTGGAAATTACATATACAAATTTGCTGAATTTCAAAAATGAGAGAGATAAGAAATAATTATATTCACTATACACTGTCGAATTACAAGCCATATACGTGCTAACAGTAATTACACACAACGCGGGCGCGGTGATGATTTCGCGTAATTCTCCTCACGTTTTTCGTAATTTATAACTTTGAACATAACCTCTCTTCAGAAAGCACAACATATAAATAACCCGTCGGGCACAGCCAATAGATACACTTTCATTATTCATTCATATTCATTCATTATTTCTTATCTCTCTAATTTTTGAAATTCAGCAAATTTGTATATGTAATTTCCAGAATGGATAAGAAAAAGTGGATGAGCTACTAATTTCTAAAGTTAACATCTTGTAGAAAAACCTACGTAATGTCAAAAAAAAAACAGCATAATGTCAAAAAAAAATCTGCATAATGTCACTTTTCAAGATACGTGATACCCGCGCCGTGCCGTTCTGTCGATAGGACAGTACTGAAATTTTTAGGTCGAAACGTTGATAATTGAGTTTGTTTAACTAATTTAATCTATTTTTACTAGAAAATCACAATATTGAAATTTCTATTTTACGGGCTACAGGTTAAATGGTTTGATCGATACTGACATATGAAGTGTCTCTAGATTTGTGTTGGCAGAGCGAGTGAGACTGGGCATATTAATATTTTATAAAATCAAATGGTGAATTTCAACTTTGAACTGTTTATTTCACGGGCGACAGCTTAAACGGCTTGAAGGATTTTAACATTCGAGGTGTCCTATTCATCGTGATAGCAAAATTAAAGCTTCGTTCTTTTCATTTATTGCAGACAGGTTTTTTGTTTTTTATCGTACATTTTTGAAATTTCAGGGCGTAATGCATCTTCCATCTTGGAAGGAACCAATCAAAATACCGTTCAAGCTAGCCCGGTGAAGAAAACGCAAGAACAGGAGCCTCCTAAACCGGCTCAGCAAGCTCATCAACTGCAACAGAAACAAAAGGTACCACCAGGTGGATTTTCTTCTGGGTTGTGGTAAAACTGTAATGAGATGAGGCTGACTGTTCTTTTATAACTGCCCCTAAACGTCCAGGACCTAATACAAAGCTAATACTAAAAAAATATTGTTTTGTACATTCCTTTCACTGTCCCTAAAGAAGACACAAGTAGATAAGGGTGTCATGTAACAAAATCATTGTATGGATAAAATTGACTTTGAACATTTGTTATTGGAACCTTTTACTTCATCGAAAATTAATATATAGTTTAATTAGTTTGTTATTATCTTGTTTTTATAACGAAGTGATCACAGAATGAAAGAATCACTCCTTAAAGTTAGTTTAATGCGAAAAAATTTTACATGATACCTTTATCCATTTGTGTCTTCAATTCCTCGCTGTTTATTGACATTCTTCTGTAATAAATATTTAGAATGCTTATCTGATTGTCTGAATGACAATCTTCATGTTTGGCTCCAAAATTGAAATACAGCGGAAAAGCTCACGTTTAGACATGCCCCCGCATATTTCGATTATAGGATCATTCAAACTGTAATGATGGACAAATAAAATAGCTGATGATAGCACTGTATTTGTCTTTGAGATTTAAGGTAGTGAGACCTTATACTTATGATTGTGGGTATGAACAGAAACTTAGAATATACAATGCGATATGTCCTTGGACAGTTCAGTAATTCAACCTATGAAATCATGTTGATAGAGCAAAAAATCAATAGAAAAAACATCAGTTTCGCTGGTATTATTTCTAGGTACTATATTATCGATTGAACTTGCTTTTAACCTTTTCATTTTTAATTAGTTATTTTATTTAATCTACTTCTAACTTTCGAAATAATATTATTGAAAAGTTCATTGGCAATATCTGTAATTTGATCCATTTTTGGGGGCATAAGTGTGATCTAATTCTTGTAAAAAATCACAAACTTCAAACAATGGCTTTGAAGATCAAGGTTAAGATCAAATACAAGGTGGGAAGTGACCATCAGATAACATTATCTGTCCATTATATTTCATTATTAAATGTTAAATGTTGTTTGATATTTGCAAGGTTAAATTATTGAAATAAACGTCTTCATCTGAGCCAAAAATGTTCCACTCATTTGTTTCAATTTTGTAATCAATCTAAAGGTAAGAGTCTTGTATGTTTTTCTCTATGACGCTGTCATATGCAAACGTTTTGAACATCCCGTGTTCATCAGCATTTTTATAAACTGATTATAAGCTTCCGCCTATATTTTGTACAATGTATCACAAAAATCATATGCACCAAATATAATTTTCTTTTCTTAACAAAGTCTATGATTTCCTTCTATAGTAAACCAGTGAAATAGCGTTTTCGCCAGGACAACAAATCATTGGTTGTTTTAGATAATACACAATAACTAAACTAGAGATCGTGCGATACAGGATATTCGGCCAATGCCGACATCAAAGGAGAAGAGCTAAATTTGGTGAACCGGGAAAGGCGGTGGAGGACACGCTGCAATAACTATTCGAGTTTTTGGATGCAGACATTTGTCAGATTTAGTAGGTCAAGTCTTTTCCAGAAGATAGAATAGATATGGAGACGAAATGATGAAGATAGTGATAAAGTAGAAACTGAGAAAATGTTGGAAGAGAAAGGTTTTTGTTTAAAAGAAATATTCAAATTGAAAGACTATACAATATCAGTTCAAGATAAATTGATCAAGGAATTATATGAAAAGATTGAATCATTACAAAGACAAATTGAAGATACATCGAAAACAACAAAGCTATGTAAATATGCAGATATGACTAAAAATACAGGACAGCCACATTAAGTTGTTAACTTAATACCACAAAGAGAACCGGTATTCTAGAGCAGGCCCTATCTTTAAGTGATGTGAAAAATGGACGAAATATTGATCCAAGTGAAGAACCAACAATGGCATTTAAGGAATCCAATAATATTAACAATGTGGTTGTGTCTCTACCTGAACCTCAAAATACAATTGTTACTGGAAATAAAAATTGCCTTCAAACAGAGAAAGTATTGAGAAAATATATTAACCCCGCCAAAATGTATCTTTCTATAACAAAATTCACCGATTTGAAAGATAGAGCTGTGAAAATTGTATGTAAGAATAATGAAGATATATCTAAATTGAAAATAGAAGTGGACAAAATTGTAAAGTTAACATAGGTCGAAAGAAATTACCTATGATTAAATTCGTCGGTTTTAGTGAGGAAATGGGTAAAGAAGAACTGATTAAGGACATAAAAGAAAGAAACAGCGTTATTAGTTCAAATTCAATAATAGGAGTGGTGAGGATTTAAAAAATGAAACAACGATATCAGGCTATCTTGGAGCTAGATGAGACATCTAGTGAAGTTATGAAAGAAGGTGTACTTTTTATATCTATGTAATTATGTACAATTTTTTAACATTATAACCTCCAAAGATGTTTCAATTGTGCTGGTTTCCACCATACTGCAAAGAATTGCTCCAAGAATGGTATTCGTTGGAAATGTGGTGGAAGTGGGCATCAACCTCAAAACTGTAAAATACCAGTAAATAAAGGATCTTGTCCAAATTGTAAAGTGAGAAAACTATAGCAGTTCCGGAAAAAGAATATGCAAACTATATTTACCATATAAATATTCAAGGATTTATTTCTGAAAAAGATGTGGTTTTACATTAATTGATGTCAGTGAAGCCGGTGATACCCTGTTTAACTGAAACACATCTATATTGACGATGAAGAAAGTGAAATTGAAGTTTATCAAATCGTAAGAGCAATCACAATTTCCAGACATACAGGTTTATCAGTGGCGGCTCGTGAGGTAGTGCCATGGTGCCATGGCACTACCTTGTCTTCTTCAAAAAGAATATTTTTTTCAATCTTCAATGTTTTACTTTATTTTCTGCTTTTTCATTTTTTTTTTTTTTTTGGTATAAATTATATGAAGTGACAACACTGACAACGTGACAACACCGCAAGCACCCGAACCACGCGAGACGGAAAGCACGCCTTGACCTTGACGTCATCAACTTGTGCCAATTTTGGGCCGGCCCAAATAAAAAGAGAGAAATTTTACTAGCATCGCATACGAGCGACAGAGATAACGCTACCCTACACATTTTTATATGAGGTGAATAGCGAAAGACAAGTATAATTTGTGCCAGGCACATCATCAGTCGTAATTCGTTATCAAGTGATATCGGCGGTGTTTTTGTTCGGTCGGTCGTTTCGTTATGATTACGTCTAGTGCTGATTTCGGTCTTTTTTTACCTGAAAAGTGAAAAATACCTTTTTTGTTTTAGTACGTCTAGTGTTAATGAACTGCTCTGTTTTGTGATCATATTTTTTACTGTTTTATTAAAACTAGTGAAAATGAATAAAATCGGGATATTAAAAAACTCATTTAGTGGTTTTTCGCTGGATCAAAAACTGCAAATTAAAGAATTAGGACGGCCAATACCCGATTTAAAAATTGAGAAACAAAGTGGTAGCGGACAAAAATCGCGCTGTCGCAAATTTAATAAAAATGTGTACGATAAAAACAGCTGGATATGTGGTTGTGAAGAAACGAATAAACTATTTTGTTTTGTATGTGTTCTATTTGGAGGTGACGAGACTTGGTCAAAAAAAGGTACAGACGATCTTATACATATATGGGATAAAATGAAGACCCACGAAAAATCTAAAGTCCATATGAATAATGTTTTTAGCTTTTCTATTCTTGGTAAATTAAATATAAGGACTCAACTCAATTCGGCTTATCGCAATGATCTAATTAAACATAATAATCAAGTGGATGAGAATCGATATGTATTGAATAAAATTATTAATTGTATAAGGTTTTGTGGAGCATTTGAGTTAGCCTTAAGGGGTCACGATGAAAAGGAAAATTCGGAAAACAGAGGCATATTTAAGGAGCTGGTGAATTTTAGCGCCGAATTAGACAACGAATTGAAAGTCCATATTCAAAGTGCCAAACTTTTCAAGGGTACCTCAAAAACAACTCAAAACGAGCTTCTTGAGTGCATGCTAGATGTTTATCATGAAGAAGTTAAGAAGGAGATTGCAAATTCTCCTTTTGTTGCAGTAATTGCCGATGAAACGACTGACGTAGCCTGTGAATTTCAGTTAGTTATTATTTTCAGATATTTGTGTAAAGGACAACCAGTTGAGAGATTTTGGAGATTTTACGTCCCCGACGGACACGATGCCAAATCAATCGCTGCATGCGTTTTAAATGTTGTAAATCCATTACTAGATCAAAATCCAAACAAATTAATAGCTCAAAGCTATGATGGTGCGTCTGTTATGAGTGGTGAATTGAATGGCGTTCAAAAAATTATTAAGGAAACTTATCCACTTGCAAATTATGTTCATTGCTATGCACACCAGTTAAATCTAATTATGACAAGCGCATGCTCTGTCAATAAGCAGGCTAGAATATTTTTCCATAATTTATCTGGATTGTGCTCTTTTTTTTCGACGTCTCCTCAAAGAACAAAAATTTTGGATGAAATAGTTAATTGCAGATTGCCAAGATCTTCCCAAACACGTTGGAATTTTCAGTCACGAGGTGTTCATACAGTTTATGAAAATAGGAAAGACCTGATTGAAGTTATGGACAATATAGAAAGTACTTCACGCGATTCTTCGTCGATTAATCAAGCCAGTGGGTACAAATTAAAGCTGCAAGATACAAATTTTGTATTTTGGCTAAGTATATTCCATAAAATAATGCCACATGTTGAAATTGTCTTTAACCAATTACAAAAAGTATGCACCGATTCTGTTAAGGTCAAAAATGATTTAGAGAATTTTGAAGCAGCAATTCAAACTATACGAGAACAAATGGATAGCATTATTGACGAGATTGAACGAGTGCAGAGAGAAACTGATGAACCGGCAAGAAAAAAAAGGCAAGTTGAAGAAGGCAGCAAAAAACGGGAAGCGTTAGAAATATGCGATGCAGTATTATCGCAAATAAGAACAAGATTTACCTTTTCTGGACATTTAGTTGCTTCTAATTTATTTGTGTCTGAAAAGTTTTCTGTTTATAAACATCAGTTTCCTGAAGCACATTTAAATGACACATGCACACAATTTTCATTTTTAGACAAAAACAGGCTTAAAACTGAGTTACAAGTATTATATCAGTGAGAAGAATTGAGTACTACTTCTGGAGCTGTTCCACTATCCATTTTATTGAACGAGGAAGGATTAAATTGCACGTTTCAAGAAACTCTTAAGCTCTTAAGTATTTTAATCACTATACCGATGTCAACATCTGAAGCAGAACGCTCTTTTTCAATGCTGAAACGGATTAAAACTTTCCTCAGAAACACAATGAAGGAAGAAAGGCTTAGTGCTTTAGGAATGCTGTCTGCAGAAAAACATTTTGTTAGTGGCATTGAAAATTTTAATAATAAGGTAATCGAAAACTTTGCTACCAAAAAAGAAAGAAGAATGGACTTCATGTATAGAAAACTTTGAAGTTATAGGTACTTCTCCACACTTTTATAATTTGGTGCGCGTGTGTAAATAGTTTTATTTTTGATTTTTTTTTGGACATATAGATTTATTGAACCTCAAGAACTTTGACCACTAACTATCAGGGGTAAGTTATAAGTTATTCTTTACAATTTTGAATCGATTCAAAATTTTGGCTTCCATTCTGGCACTACCTCACTGAATTGGCACGAGCCGCCACTGCAGGTTTTATATTATTATATATTTTATGTGAAATAGAAGTTAGATTACATGAAATTGTAGCTGTTGAGTACGAATGGTGGTACATATATCAATATTGAATTGAATGTTAATTAAGCACACTTAATAGTTTACATATTTAGTACAGATCTCCAACAAGAAATATAAACAGATCAGTGATCATTCATAGATATGTTTTGAAGTTGAAAGTAGTGTTGGATCGAGTCGACTCGAGTCAGTTTATACGGTATTCGAATCATGACTCGATTCCCTGATTCGCGACCAGTACTCGAATTCTATGTTTGGTATTCGAATATTGACTCGAGTCCGGCTTGGCTCGAGTCTAGAATTCGAATCTGAAAATTCTAGTCCAGAACTAGAGTCCGATTTTAGAACAAAAGGGAAAAATGAAAAGGAGTTAACTTCAAACAGCGTGTAGGTTAGGTTAAGCATAATGACACAATAATAAATCAATAATTTTTAATGAAAGATAATTATAAACATTAAATAAAAACATAGAGCATAGGAGTTCTATGGAGATAAACAAAAAAACATAGAACATAATCAAATTTTCTCACGACTTAGACTAGATATTATTAT